TTATGCTGTTTGTGTGAAATTATATATACGATATTGAATGCTTATAATATTAGACCAATGTTTTAAATAAGTTCAACTTTGGTCCATTGAATGTTTAAAAAGGATGTTTTTGAGATGTCCGAATCAGTAACATTGGACGTTTTTAATACATTCTAAAGATGTCCGAAGCTTTAATTAGAATGTTTTAAATACGTACAGAACGTCCAGCATTTTTAATACATTGTTAATACATTACTGTGCTGTTTGGGATCCTATAGATGCAAGTTAGCATTTATTTAGCGTCGCAACCGGAGAGGGGGGGGGTGATTAATTGATGCAAGTAAGCATCAGTATTTTTTAAATTGTTTAACAGCGTAATGATACGGTTCTGTTTCAATCAAAGCAGCGTTGAATCCGATAGTAACGACTCGCAGTTCGTTGAAGCTAGGGTATGTAAAAATTACATAGTTATATTGAATATTAACTGACCTGTATTTCGCTCGTCTTTAGTCTCTTATCCTGACTAATTTGCTGTATCCCCAAACGAAATAATTCAGCATGTTAAGATCTGATGATTGCGCCGGCCGAATGATTAGGCCATCTCGCGACCTATCCATCTGTTCGAATAATGCGCGTTTAAAATATTGCGTACCTAATACGAGAAATAAGCAAGAGCTCCGTCATGCTGGAAAATAAGAACTTCCTATTGGCGAAGACGAACTTCTTCGAGAAGAGCGGGCAATTCATTCTCCAGGAACTGTGCGTATATTTCGCCAGTTAGATTAGTGGGAGGAAATAGGGACCAAATATTGCCGAAAAAGAGTGACTTGAAAAAGCTGTGTAAAAAAATGCCTTGACTCATAAACATACTATTTTCGGTTCTCCATTATTTCTGTCGACATGTTTATATACCAACGATATTGAAAGTTACTCTCTCAAATTGCGTACGAATTTTTCACTTATCACGATAAAAAATTGCGGCTATTAAATGTGGCTATTAAATTTGCCATAAACGTGGCTTCTTCCATACATACAACACGATGCACCACACATCGCGAGAGACCGAGAGACACGAGCTACACAACGCACCCTGTTTCCTGAGTTCTTCTCGAAGCACGCAGGATTCTTTCTTTCTTGATCCACGGGGACACGCACTGCTGTACCAGCGTGTCGTCAATTTTGAAGAAGATATCTTATTTCTCGTACACGTCAAACACGCTGCAAAATTACATTTGCTGTCGTCGTCCGGAATCGCTCCGCATACAGACGTGCCGTGGCTTGGGCGTTTTCTTCAGCTACTCCGTACATAATCATGTCGGTGTATTCTCGCGTTGTAACTCTACCAGTTTATTACAGCACGATTTTTGATCGCATGCACGCTAACAGACTCTAGAAAGGCTGTTACAGAGCAATAAATAAAGATTGAAGTCGTGGATGTTTATTTGTTATCCACTGAACTATTGTCGACGAAGATTGAGTCGACAAACAATATCCAAAAGAAATTTTCGAGGATTTGTTGAAGTAACGCAATTTTCAACATCAATACCTTGTGCAAAATTGAGTTTTGTTTAAATTGTGTGTTAATTTTGTAACTTCAAAAATCTTACTTTTTGTCAATTATGTTAAACCTAAATTTAATATGCGTTCACACGTTGTTAAATGTTACTGTTGTCGAATAATATTTGTAATGTGTATGATTTTGATTATCTCTTTGAGAATATTATACATTATTTTATCGCAGGAAGAAATAAATTAAATTGTCCGATTCAAAATTTTAGTTTTACATTACACCTGCCAGTTCCAGCAAATGAAGATCAACACAGATACTCTAGTTACGATATTATATTGTAGGCTGTTGTTCTTCTTTGATGTTATTAATGTTTATTTCTTTTTTTTTTTCATATTGAGAATCAAAGAAGAATCTTGATAGAACTTTTAAGAAGACTCTAAATACTGTACAGAATTTTTAAGAATTTGATAATCGAAAATTTGTGTTTCCTCACCGTGGAAAAATGTCGTTTTGTGGTGATATTAATTAAAAATCTAATAGATTTAACCAGTAATAGTACATTTGTTTAAAAATAAACGAATCAGAATTCTTGTAGAAATTACCAGATGATTATGCATGATCCTTTCCTGTTAAATATACCAGATTTTGTAAGGACCGATTCTTGAGGATTAAGCCAATTATTCTAACAGTTAATGTGCGGAAATAAAATAAATATAAATTCCCATAAAAAATCTTTTTAAAAAAAGAAAAAATATACGTCAAGTACATAAAAAATGTCGCATATTACATTCTTTCTAAAACTAAGAACAATTTTTTGTGAAATGATTATTAAATATACAATTATTTAAAAATTATTTAAAAATTGATTGACCAAAAATAGTTGTGAAATCAATAAAATTAGCCAAGTTATTTAAAAAAGCCGAGTTATTAAACTAGCCTCATTATTAAGAAAAGACCTCAAAAATGCTTATTTGTGAAAAACATTCAAAAATTTAAATAATGGAAAAGTGATAAACTGGATTATAATAAAGAAAAAATTTGGCGTGCCCGGATCGCATTAAAATACAATATTCTACATGTTTTATAGTACTCGTATATAAATTATTTGCTGATATACACAAACATGTAACTATATAGTCAGACAAAGTGCCCGGGCCGTATGAAAACGCAATGTTCTACAATCAATGGTTATTAATATATAAAATATTTGTAATACAGATAAATATGCATATATAAAAACATTATTACATACAATAGTTGCGAGTATATAATGTAATTTTTAAATAATTGTATATTTAAATCATTTTATAAAAAATTGTTCTTAGTTTTAGAAAGAATGTAATATGCGATATTTTTTATACTTGGCGTATATTTTTTCTTTTTTAAAAAATTTTTTATGGTAAATTTTTATATAAAAATATTTTTATTTGTATAAATATATGTATATATTATTTTTAAAATGTATTAAAAACAGATAGCGCGCGCTATGTATTGTTTTAGTGTATGTACCTACTATTAATAATAATAATTAATATGTATGTACCTACTATTAATAATAATAATTAATATATATATGTTTAATATTAATAAAACTCATTTCTTAGAATTTATCAAATGCTGTAACAATTACTTTAAAATATTCCAACACCCTGTGTCATTAATTACGTCGCTTTGCACGCGCGTGATAAAGTAATTATAATACAATCTCGTATTAGAATCGCTAGGAATATCACGTGCAATACTCGCGTTAACTCGTTCATATGCAAGACATAATCGCAGGTCATGATCACTACGAGTGTTTTATTGCAAATGCCATGCTTTGCGACAAGCCCAACGACTATCTGATGGCTCGTGGTGAATTAAGCGACTCCGTTTTCAGACGGGGATTAATTGAATTTGAGACAACAAATATATACCGGGTGAGGGTATATATATATATATATATATATATATATGTATATGTATATATATATGTATATATATACATACACTCACCCGCAAAAAACCGGGCACCTAAATTTTAGCTCAAATTTTTATAATATCTTTCAATAGCGGTAACTTTATGAAAAATTATCGTATCGAGATGAACCTAAGCTCAAATTAAAGCTCGAACATTCCCCTTGATAATTAAGAAAATCAAAATTGAGTTCCAGAAATGCTTTATAAAATGGCAGGCTTAGAAAAATAGGACAAAAATTTTTTCTTTAAACTATTGCGCTTAGGGAAGTCGGCTGCTTGGCATAAAAATTTATGAGTTTGCAAGCTCATTGATTTTCTAACAAATCCATTTTTTGGTCATTTTTCTATGATTTTTTTTGACAAAGTTATGGTGTTTTAAAAAAAGTGTTACAAAACTGGCTATTTTTTTTTGTCTACTCAATATAACTCATAAACAAATTATTGTAGAAAACTTTATAAAACAAATAAAAAGAAAATTTTGAATCTTAAAAATTATTAAAAATAAAATTCTTTTTAATTTCATGTAAGTGCGTGTACTTATGCATGTGTGTGTCCTGCGTGCTCGCGCGCATATTTAGTAATGCGTATTGCCTCCTCTTGCATTTATTAATTTGTGTATTCGTTTGGGCATATTGTTAATCAAGCGTCTAATTGTTTCTTGTTCTAAATTATTCTATTCCTTTTGCGTGGCGGAGTGCTGCTAAAGTTTGAGCATTATGTTTCCTAACTTTTCGTTCTAACACATTCCATAAATGCTCTATAGGATTCATATCTGGACTCATAGCTGATTACAAGAAAAAATAGCCCGTTTTATAACACTTTTTTTAAAGCACTATAACTATATCAAAAAAATCATAAAAAAGTGATCAAAAAATGAATTTGATAGAAAATCAATAAGCTTGAAAACTTATAAATTTTTATACCAGGCAGCTGACTTCCCTAACAAGCGCAATAGTTTAAAGAAAAAATTTTTGTCCTATTTTTCTAAGCCTGTCTTCAACGTCCGCCATTTATTTATTATTAAAGCATTTCTGGAACTCAATTTTGGTTTTCTTATCAAGGGGAATGTTTAAGCTTTAATTTGAACTTCGGTTCATCTCGATACAATGATTTTTCATAAAGTTATCGCTATTGAAAGATATGAAAAATTTGAGCTAAAATTTAGGTGCCCGGTTTTTTGCGGGTGAGTATATACATATATATAAGATTTAATAGATTTCCGTGACTTTATCACGCCGTAATTGGTATTAACGATACTTGAGAAATAGTTATTAATAATAATTGTCACGAAGTTACATTATAGTTTCACAACTATTCTAGGAAGAGGCATGACTGCAATTCTAACTATAGTAGCGCCGCTACTAGGGTGGCTATATTTCTTTATCGAGACGATAATTTTTTATCAAATGTATCACAAACGCGCATGGCATGTATTATTAATTGTATTTCAGATAAATTACAAACTATTCAATGCTGCTCGCGATAAATCTGCCATGAATTATCAAGTGGGTCGATTTGACATGGAACTGGAGCCCGACGTCAATCCGTCTTCCGGTCGCCATAGGATCATGCGTTCAACAAGCTGTCCACGACACTCCCATAACGAGCGTATAAGGCCGAACAGTCTGCCAGATACACACATAAGAAATATCATCGCATCTACAGTAAGTTGTTTATGTTACTTCTCTATTATAGATTTAGTTTTGGTATTGATTTTTGCATCGAAATATTGAATAAATATTTATTTTACTGGCAATTGCGAGTAAATTTTAAGTTGAAAAATTATTTTTATTCGTAAACACAGCTATTTGTGATTATATTCCGATCTTTTTTTATTGTCAAGATAATTTGTTTCATTTTTTTCTAAATTGCATTTCAAATGTATAAGTAATTTTTTTAGTTAAAATCCATTTAGAATTATGCAAAAGATAGAGTTATGTACAAATTTTACAACGTTAATTAACGTTTTTAAATTTATTTATAATCTAGAGAAATACATCCTATTTCTAGTATCTTATATGTACTTATATGTAACGACACGGATCGTTCTTGTGTTTAAGGATGCATGGCATCGCCATTGCGGTGTCTCGATAGCTTCGAGCTTTGACCCTAAAATTATTAAAGCGCCTAACGCTTGTCGCCGAGTTCAATGCACTTTCATATAATTTAAGCACCTCGTGAAGGAACGTGAAAAAGTCGGTTTGCATCGCTACCACCATTTTCCTACAAGAGCATGACTCCTACGATCCATAGATCGTATAATACGCTCCGATATTTCTGCATGTCGGCATATGAGATCCTTCATGTCAAGAAGCATTCGAGCGCATCCAATATGCCTTATTGATCGGATCTGAACACGTGTCAAATCTTCGAAAGCAAAATAAATTTGCCTGTATTCCGTTAGATTATTGCAATATTCAATAACATGATAAATAACATGATAAATAACATGGTGCTGCCTGAATATATTGTCATAATTTATTAATATTTTAATAAAAAAGCAAATTTCTAACGTATAATTTATTACTTTTAATTTCTAACTTTTTATTTCTTTTTTCTTATTACTTATTGTTAGCATTATTATAATTTTTATTGATATATGTATATGTGTACTCTATGTGTAAAATTGTGTTTGTATATATTTTTGTGCGATATTATTTTGCATTTGTTACGAACGTTATTAAAATATATTAAATTATATTAAATAACTAATTATATAGAGGATGAATCGACGAGAATTTTCCACTCTGCTTTTTAAGCGATAATTGATTTATGCGAAATATGCCGAAACACATCAATTTTGTTTTTAAGAGGAACGTGTTTCAATAAATTTCAATAAATTTAATCGTATATTTTCACTTTCTTGATTAAAACAGCTATATTTTTAAAAATTGTGAATGATAATAGAAGTCAAGTACATATTTCTCTCGTTTTAAAAAATCTCTCAGTTATCTTTATAACTATGTTTTATATTTTTAATTTGGACGAATATTTCTTGAGAAATCACATATGGAAGTTTTAGATAGTAAAAAGTGAAAGTACGTAAAAAAACTACTTACTTTACTAAATATTCGAAATATTCTTTGTACAGTCTTCTGAATGGAAACTACAATAATAAAGACTTTGTTCGAACTACATAGTTACATTTTGAAAAATTTCCAATGTGTTCTGACACTCATACACTATCTTTAATTTAAATCTTGTATGGAACGTATACATCTATTAAACAACTGAAAAATATTAGATAAATTAAAGTAACGCTTATCTTATAAAACTTGAGCCACGATTCTATGGAATACATCATATATGTTGTACACGAAAACAGTAATATGCAATGCTGTTTATCAATGCTATTTTTTTTTATTTAATAGCAATAACTACCAGTCGATATTTTGCGCCACATTAATTTAATTCACGAGATTATTCTGCTAATTATTGTAATGACAAAACAAGTGTTTTCTTTGCAGCCCAGAATAACGCTTTGGTTAACATAATGATAGAAAATGTGATAAAAATATTATGAATTTTCAGTCAAAAAGTGTATTGTAATTTATAAAGCATTAAAAAAATATATTACGACGTTAAACTTGATAACTTTAACTGTTCATTGAGCGTTTGTTCGAACTTTATTCAGAACGATGACACAATGGAATATTGTAATTTGAATATTACCGAATAAGCTGAATACAGAGAAGGTCTCAAAATAATAAAATTTGATCAGACTAACATTATACATTTTACAATCAAATCATCTTACAATTAAATTTATGTGCAAATTTGTCAAACATATTTCCTATGTTTGCATAAGTATAAAACGATCGAGTAATACAATTCTGATACGTGTACTTTCCAGATATTTGCATAACATCATTTGTATGAAAATATCATTTGAAAACAACTTGATGGGATTCTGTATATGTTGTTTAAATCTTTGTTAACGCAACTAAGATATTCATATTTTTAACAAGATATGATAAAACAATTACTTTATACACTCAATTAAATATAAAAGTATTATACATTTTATGTTAAAACAAATAAATCGCTTTAATAGCTCTAATAATTTTACAATAAGTAATACAAAAATTCATTATTTTATTTAAAAAATGCATTTTCTACCGCACTAAAAAATTAAATTAGTATAAAAAAATATATTTTATTCGTATATTGAGGTTTTTTCTTCTTTTTTAATTTTAAATTAGCTATTTGTTTTTCAAATTTTTCATTAGTTAGCATTATAAATTAAGTTACATTACATTACATTATATTATTAACGAGTGAGTAATATATATGTAAAAGTTAAAACATTTAAATTTAACTTTTATGTACCTATATATGAAAAAAGATAACACAGCTCCCCATATGAAAGAAAGGAGATCGATTCGTAGTTTGATCTCGAGTTCGATTCCGTTTTTCGCACCATATTCGATTTTATAAGAAATTGATTTAAAGAATTGAAAGTGTGTTTGTGTGTGTGTGTGTGTGTGTGTGTGTGTGTGTGTGTGTAAAAAGAGTAAGTGAAGTAAATGGATTACCCGTTTTGGAAATACATATTTCAATAAGATGTTACAATTATACAAGTATGGAATATCTTTTACATCCAAAGTAGAAAAATCAGGAAAAAGTTCAATTTTAGTTGAAAAATCGACTCCGCATTCACAATCAGTCGAGAAGTTCGAAAAAAAGAATAAAAAGAATAGCGGAGACAGTTACGAAAGACCGCATTCATGAAAAGAAATGGAGGTTCTTTATATAATGAGATAGTAGAAGAGATACGAGAAATTTTCGCGTTACGTTTTGTAGACTTCACAATTCTTTTATTCCATGTAATCTTGCACCGTATTGCCAACAAGGGATTTCTAAAAAATAATTTATACAAATTTAATGTGTTCTTTTGTGAAAGCTAACTACGTTATTGCGAAAATATACGCTTATGACAAGATTTCGGTGGAGATCCTATATTTTTTTAACCGTAAATATCATTTCCAAATTGTGCTAATTTCTTAACATAGTGCATATGTATATAATATGAAGAAAAAACTAAAAGCCATGAAAAATGCGATAAACCTTTAAGCTAAATAATAACAAATGCCAGAAACGGGCACTTAATATAAAGTACATAAAAATTAAACATAAAATAAAGGGCTATTACCAAACTGGATCTGTTGTCATAGTGTCATAAAATCCAAAAATAATCGTTTGTCTGTAAATGAGCGAATCACTTGGAGTGTCTACTGCTACATGTGTATATATTAACGGGACATATTCTCTGCATTTAATAAACTTTAGTATTAAAAATAAGATATAAAAAGCAGATATATTGATACTATTGCCCTCTGCAATAATTGGTTACTTTTGCATTCTAGAAACGTGCCTTCCGTTAATTGCTATTGTACTAGAGGCTTGCAATACATTGTATCATATTTTAATGGTACATTAATTTATTACGTACTTTATTCGAGACATCGTCGATAATATATGTATATGTTACATAATTGTGACGATCAATGAGAGGACGTCACAACTTATAGCGTTTATGACACATCTTTGAGGAAATATGTAGTCTGTAACACAAAATAAATATAATGAAGATTACACGCTATTATTCACACGATGTTTACTCGTAATCTAGAATTGAATACTGAGTTAGGAAAAGGACTGATTAGTAGATATTATGTCGAAATACTAGCACGGCTTGCGGTAATTAGTAATAAAAGGAAAGGCGAGCAACTCGAAGAGATAAATCAAAAGATCTTTGAGATTATGACTGATAACAATTTCAACGAAGAAAATGATGCATAAGACTGACGCAGTCGATGAATATTGAATAAAATATCAATAGAAAAAAATTGCAGCAAATAATATTTTGTGCTCAATTTGCTCTGAAAATCGGCGGCTTGAGAAATATATTGCTTGATTGAATAAATAATTGATCCATTAATTTTTTGTAGCTTGTCTTTGGTCTTTTTATTATTTATTGTGTTATTATTAGATCGAGCTGAATTTTCTTTATTATTTTAAGAAATATGAATTTCCAGACACTGCTGCACGCCGCGTATAGGGTAGAAGTACTGGTTTTGGTCACCTTAAGGCGATCCTAAAGTCGTTTGTTTTATCGACCAAACATGATTATTTTCCATGACAAACTAAATATATAATTAAAGGCAACAGATTTAAAAATCCTTCTCCACGATTAAAGTATAGGCATTAATGTAGTTCCGGCTGGTAGAGGTTATACTGAGAAAAAAAATTTAAGAAATTTAGATCTCCGTTACCTTTTCTTAGTCCAACATGGCGTCTAGAGCTGTCAATATGTGCCAATATTTGTTTCAGAAAAAACTTTGGCAGTTCGTTTGTACAAAATGATACCAGCTGGAACTACGAATTACATGTGCAAATAACAATTATGTAGAGTTCATAAAATTAGACTTGGATGCCTAACAAAAAAGATGATCAGTGAAAATTTATTACGATGTGTATGTGCGATATCAATATAGTAGTAAACAAGAAATAGAACACAAGTAATAGAGAAGTTTTTTGAACAATAAGACAAAATTTTTATTCAAACAAGTAATATTTCATATAAGCATATGTTGTTTCAATGAAATAAAAAAAATATTAATAAAAAGGAATTCTAAATCTAAAGAAATCTTTTTCTCTGTACATGTATCTAATGTACTTGCGTATTTTAAGGTTTAGTTTTACGAAGTTTTACGAAAGTTAAACGAAACACGCAAACGAGCTGCATTTTAGTGATTATCACGATGCGTTTTTTTCGTACAAGATTCTTTGCATTGTAATATTGCGCAGTACATACCTCTTGCAAGTTGGATACGATAATTGCCCTGTATATCACATACGTATACGTAAATATCATTAATACATGTGTATATAATGTTTACGAAACACAGTAGCACTTTTAGTGAAAGCACTTGCACTAGCACTAGCACTTTTTTTAGCGAAAACTTCGGATTTCAGTCTGCATTTTCATATATTGGTCTATATTCAACCAATCAGAATACCAGTAAGAACAGAAAGTACAGAGGCTAGAATAAATATATATACTTTCAACTAAATATTTTACTGAACAAAATGAACCATTTACTTGTACTAAATCTGATGTCTTAAATACATATTTCCAAATAAATATTTTGTTGAACGACAAATATAATTTTAAATATTTTATATAGTGAACTATGAATATTTCAAAGTATTTATTATTTGTGTTCAGATTTTTCGTTCACATTTTTCGAATTAATTCACCAAACAAATCCGTTATTTCGCATCGCGTTTTCGGTCGATTTGGAGAGTCTCCGAGTGAAATCACGCGGCATTCACGTGTCTCGAACCGTCGAGAATCGACGCACAACCGCGAATTCGGTGCTTGCGCATACCGATCCTCGGTCGTTCGAGGCTGTTTTTCACGCAAATAAGTCAGTCATTGTCTATCGATCGCTGAAATACCTCACTGCTGTATTGAGTCTCTAGCAACGATTCTCACGAGTTTTTGCGCTCCGTCTTGTCCGCGTCCCTTCAGTCGGAGGCGCTCCAAATCGAACCACCAGAGACTTCCGCTCGCGTCGCGATTTCCGTCTCGGCGGACTTTCTTCCGATTGATTTTTTCGTTTCACGGTTACGCGCCGTGCAGCATACAGACCAGTGGTTACATATAATAAAGTGTTCTCAATCAAGACTTCTGCCACTTATTTCAAGACTGTCCCTCTCAGTTCCCGATTCTCTACTGTCAAGCGAACGTACTAAAGCACTAACAATTTGAGAAGATCAGATTTCTAATTAATTATTGCAAGAAAATGACTTCTTCCGTTTAATAAAATATTTATTTGATAATATTCTGGAACAACAGGTTTCTTAGAAGCAGATTCATTTTGTTAAATACAATATTTAATATATTCTAGGAAATCAAATCTTATTGCAATTAAATAATTTCTTTCGTTCAATCAAATATGTAGAAGTGTGTTAGTATCAAATGTGTTAGAAGTATTTATTCAAGAACATATGGTCTCTCATATTATAAGTAAATGATATCTGTCGTTCAACAAAATATTTATTTGGAAATCCAGAGACGCGATAGTGGCTCGTGCCAAGTGTACGCGCAGCGCGAGACTGCCCTGTGTTTCTATGCGCGAGCCGATATTCATGGACATCAGATTTCTTACAATTAGTACAAATAAACGGTTCATTTTGTTCAGTAAAATATTTAGTTAAAAATATTCATATATTCTAGGACATCAAATTTTTTAATGCAATTAAATGACTTCTTCCGTTCAACAAAAAATATATATAATATTTAATTAAATTTATTTATTTATTCAAGAACATTAGATTTCTTATTGCAAATAAATTATTTCTTTCGTGCAACAAAATACTTATTTGAGGGTGTTTTTATTTATTCAAGAACATCAAGTTTCTTAGTACAAATAAATGGTTTTTTTGTTTAATAAAAAATTGTTGTTTAGAAAACCCATTCGACTTGTTTCAATATCAGCCACGTAGATAACTTTTCTTCAATGTAAGATCCAAGGTTTGGAGAGAGGCCCCTGTGTCTCGATGTTTCTGGCGCAGTCTTCAATTTTTTTGTCTCAATGTTGTACGTGGGACAAAAACCAAAAGTTTTACTTGCCAGTGAAATAGAAATCCCATGCATATAGCATTCAAAGCATTATTGGACTTGATGTGGAGCATATTTGTAAAAAATTTTTTATTTTTATCTCTTTGTTCTTTTTAATTGATTTTTTTTGTGGAGGCATTGTAGTTCTAAAACTTCAAACAAATTTTAATTATTATCAGTAATTATTATGACTTAAGTAAGCACCAATTTTAATAGAATGGCCAAAACTGACAAAGGGATAATTTAATATTTCCGGTTTTGATCATTGTTATTAATATGAATAATTTTTAATATTTTTACTTTTAAATGTTTTTAGATCTCTAATTTTTTAAATCTTTTGAAGAACATTATTTGACCGATGTGCATACATATTTACAAGCAAGTATAGAATTTATAACTTAAAAATGTACGATTTTATTTCAATGTCTTCTTGATTAAGGTAACGATTGAGAATTGCTTGAATTCCTTCTTACAACGTGCCCTATTTCATTGAATGAATTCAGAAATGCACGTTAATTTAACTGTAGCTATTGCTCAAATACACAAAGTCTCGGAAAATCACTGTTTTATATTGCCATTGACTATGCAGTGTAGATACGAAAAATTCTCGAAAGTGTTTATAGTGGCCATAATCGGTGCAATGGCCAAAACCGGTACTTCTACCCTATTATATACAAACTATCAAAAATACAATTGTCAAAGTTTAGCGGAGATCTTAAAGAATAATTACAATTTTGGAATTTCTTTAAGCATATTCATGAAGATACGAGCATTAAGGAACTCATAAAATTTAGTTATAAATAATTGTTTATATTACAATAACAAATTTTAATAACTTATTTCTTGTCGTCATTTTGACTAATAATTTAAAGTAGTACGATGCATATAGGCATGATTTTTATGCCTACTTCCCTTGCATGCTGACCACTTGTACATGTATGTTATATGTTAGCAATTTGCTGTTTATAAAGCGTTATATAAAGTTATACGTAGTTGGCCACAAATCATTTGCAGGCGTAGTAAAATATCAACAATAGATAAATAATAGTGTCTATTTAATTTCTGTATTTGGATACCTTTTGTACTTCATTATTCATTTTTTGTAGAGCTTCATTACTTACATAAACGATTATTATGATATTTTAAATGTTTAGTAGCATATAATATAAGTTTCTAAATGAATTACCAGTTCGTATTGTAAACAACATAATCAGGATAAGAGGCCAAAGGCGAGCGAAATATAGGTGTCAGTTAATATTTAAATATAATTATGTGATTTTACATACTTTAGTTTCAATAAACTGCGAGCCGTTACTATCAAATTCAACGCAGCATTTGATTGAAATAGAACCGTATCATCACGCTGTTAAATAATTTAATGAGTACTGATGCTTACTTGCATCTTTTAATAAATCACCTCCCTTCCCGCTTTCGTTGCGACTTCAAATAAATGCTAACTTGCATCTATAGGATCTAGTCCCCCGAATCTGTAAAGAATTTATTGCGAAAAATATCACCTCATGTTCTCAGCCAAAAATCGAACCCAGATCTCCACGTTTGCCGGACGGGCGTCCTATCTTTAGATCACTAAGGCATATGTGATAACATTTCTCGCAGTAAGAATATCTATCTAACATGTTTTCAGACCGCGTAAATTTAAATGACTATTCCCCTAACGCATTATAGGCCAGCGTTTTAATAAATAACTAAATGAATTATCAGCTCGTATTGTAAACAACATAGTCAATTTTCGCAATAAATTCTTTACAGATTCGGGGAAGTAGATCCTATATAGATGCAAGTTAGTATTTATTTGGAGTCGCAACGAAGGAGGGAAGGGGGGTGATTTATTAAAAGATGCAAGTAAGCGTCAGTACTCATTAAATTATTTAACAGCGTGATGATGCGGTTCTGTTTCAAATGCTGCGTTGAATCCGATAAAGTAACGGCTCGCAGTTCATTAAAACTATAGAGTATGTAAAATCGCATAGTTATATTTAAATATTAACTGACACCTATATTTCGCTCGTCTTTGGCCTAATATAAGTGTTTTAAGTTACTGTTAATATACGGCTATTTGTTTTTATTTTACGATATTCTACAATAGAACCATTACGATTAACAATACATGATAACTGATACAAAATAGTAACCTGATTTGAAATCTTATATTTATAAATTTGCGCACTGCTTTTTATAGCGCCGACTTTTTATAGCTCTTTTCTAATATTGCTTTTTATAAAATATAAAAATGTATTATTAATACTTCGAGCTATTGTAAACTTTGATTACAGGATTCGAAAATATCGTGGAAATTATAATAATTATAAATAACGTATGTAAAAACGATATCAGTATTTTTAATATTTTTACTAAAGAAATAGAATATAACGAAAAATTTAAATCGCGCATTTTTTGTGCCCTACTGCACACAAAGCTCTACTCCAGGGCGTGAGTTTAATTATCGTTTAATTATCGTAGTCCTTTAGTTCAATTGCAGTTCATTTGTTGTTTATCCGTTGTGCTTATTCGGTTCAGTGGTTATCGATTATCACCCACCATTAATTGCCCGCAAGGGGACTGGCGAGATCCTGTCCACAAGTACGAATACCACATCTAGCAGCTTTACGACCTTACCACTTCTTTTTTCTCTCTCGGAAATCTATCAAATAACCTACCAGTCCACCAGGTAGTGGATCTTTCTTTTTTCTTCTTTTAGTATAATTAGAACAATTGCACTGCCTTTTAAATTATCGGACGGTTTATTTTTAAAAATAAGTTTTTCCATTCTCCATGATCTGCAATATCTTTTCTTCCTATCGTTTTGTAATTGACTAGCATTAACTATCTAGACTTTTAACATTTTTTTTTGTTGTTTTGTTATTTCTTTAATCAAATTTTTTAATATTTTCCTATCTAAAAAAGTACATGTAAAGTCGATAACTCGCATTTCTCGAAATTATTTGTTGTCGCTTTTCCGCGATGCTGATTGGTTGTCTCGCTGCGCTAACTTTGTGTAAGCGGCTGTGTCATTACATTTTGACAGTTGTGTATATTGAGGTTGATGTTAGTATGTGTAGGTTGAGGTTGAGGTTGCATAAGAAGTGTTAAATAGCGCGCGCGAAGCGCGTGTTTGTATAGTGCTAATAAAATAAAATTGGTATAAATGTAATTCTACAAAAAAAAAAAATTATGTGTAAATTCTTTTCTCTTGTTTTTCTTTTTTTAGAATAAAATATTAAAAAATTTGATTAAAGAAATAACAAGAAAAAATGTTAAAAGTCTACATAGTTAATGCTAGTCAATTACAAAACGATAGAAAGAAAAGATATTGCAGATCATGGAGAATGGAAAAACTTATTTTTAAAAATAAACCGTCCGATAATTTAAAAGAATTTACACATAATTATTTTTTTTGTAGAATTACATTTATACCAATTTTATTTTACTAGCACTATACAAACACGCGCTTCGCGCGCGCTATTTAACACTTCT